CTTTCCTTTCCTTTCCTTTCCTTTCCTTTCCTTTCCTTTCCTTTCCTTTCCTTTCCTTTCCTTTCCTTTCCTTTCCTTTCCTTTCCATTCCTTTCCTTTCCTTTCCTTTTAACATAGGGTCTCATGTAGCTCAGGCTAGCTGCAAATTCAATGTGTAACTAAGGATGATCTTGACCTTCTGATATTCCTGTGTCAGCTTGCCAAGATATTGGATTGCAGGCATGGTCACTGTGTCCAGTTCTGAGGTTCTGGGGATCAAACTCAAGGTCTGAAGCTCTCTACCAGCTGAGCCACATCCAGGCCCAATGATCCTTTTATTCTTGGCCATCCTTGTGTCTGTCTATTGATGTCTGGGCTTCGAGAAGTATCCTCTCCTGCTTTTACAGTTTTCTTTGATGCACCTGAGGGGCAGCTCGTGACAAACACAGTGGGCAAAGCCTTTTCAGTCTGAAACACTTTTGCTATTTCCTGGCATAGTTTCCCCCTCTATTTCGACACACCAAATGTTTTAAATATTGCCTCCAACTATGTTCCTTAGATTGAACAGGTAAATATTTGACTTCTCTTTTGACTAACATTGTAAGGTAAAAAAAAATCATAAAATTATGGTTTTGTTTAGACACACATAACATGAATGTTCATACCTGCATAGTAGGATATGTTTGTGTATGCAGGCATGCACTTTTGCATAGGCACACATGTGCCCCAGTGCTGATGTGGCCACCGGAGGACAACTTTCAGGAGTTGGGTCTTTATCTTCCTTGTTGAGGTTTCTCTTGTTTCTGCTGTGATGCTGCCTGTTCCAGGCCAGCTAGCCCACACCTTTCCAGGTGACTTTCTGATCTGCGGTCTCACTGTAGCAGTGCTGGGATTACAGATGGTGGCCACTGCATCATCTGGGATCACAGATGATGCCACTGCATCTGTATTTTTATGCAAATTCCGAGGCTCCAACTTGGGAAGTTAGACCTTCATGGCTATCACTTTAGCTCTCTGACACATTTGTCTAGCTCTACCTCAGGTTCTTTTAAACCTAGAGTACTTAAAGTGCTTGAAGAATTGCACTGATTTGAACATTGAATAGAAATAGAAGATCATTTCTTCCTCTTTATTTCCCTACCTTGAAAAATACCTTATATAGTGTTTTATGAGCAGGGAGGCAGCATAGATGTTGACTGGCTATTGAGTGTGTGTCTTGGTTAGGTTTCTATTGCTGTGATAGACACCATGACCAAAAGCAACCCGAGGAGGAAAGGGTTTATTCCAGCTTACAACTCCAGATTCAGAGTCATCATGGAAGGAAGTCAGGACAGGAAGTCAAGCAGGGCAGGAACCTGGAGGCAGGAGCTGATGCAGAAGCCATGAGGAGTGCTACTGGCTTATTCCTCATGGCTTGCTCAGCCTGCTTTTTTATAGAACCCAGGACCACTAGCCCAGGGGTGGTCCATTCATAATGGGTTGGACCCTCCCATGTTAATCATCAACCGAGACAATGCCTCATAGACTTGCCCACAGGCCTATCTGGTGGGGACATTTTCTCACTTGAGGTTCCTTCTTCCCAAATGACCCTAGCCTCCTCAAGATGACATACAACTAGCAACACAAAAATGTGGCATTTGTCTTGCATTTTAGGTATCACAGTCTTGAAATTTAAGGCTTTTGTTTCCACATTTTGGCCAATCTGATAGAATTTTGTCCTTAATTTATTCAAAAGTGAAATAGGAAATGCAAACACATGTTTCCTAGTTCTTATAGAAAGAGTAAATTAAGATGTGAAGAAAATTGAGCTGACTTTTAAAAAACCTCCAAATCCTTGTATGGAGGGTTTAAAAAGAATTTTTATTTCGAACAGGTTAATATAGTTCAGAATGAAACTCTTACTTCCTTCCCACCTCAAATACTTGAATTAGACTCCCAGGACAACCACTGCCAACAGTTCTTAAGTAGCCTTCCACAGTGTTGTTTGTATCCAAGTATATGTGCAGGGTGTGCATATAAGTTTGTGATGGAATTGTGTCTCCCTCTACACTAAATCCATATACATCCTTTAAAGAACAGTATGTTTTGAATGACCTAAATGTATTTTTTTTTTCACGTAGTTGGGAACATTGGACGGGTTGATATACATTAAGATGAACTGTTTTCTGCATGTTTGTTAATGTTTTTTCTAATTGTATCATTAAGTGTGAAGTTTCTTTAGTGCAGATGATTTTTAATAGAAAAGTTAATTTAGATGGAGGATTTCCCCCTTGATACATGCTTTCAGTGTTAGGCGTCAGGGTGGCCGGCTTGTGTCGCCGTAACGCTCTATTGTATCAGCTTTGCTTTTCTCTTCCTTCTGTTTTGCAATACTGGGGCTCAAACCCAGAGCCTAGTGCGTCCTGGGCATGTTACTCTACTACTGAGTTTAATTCCCAGCTTGAGGTTTTCTTCCTTCAAGTAGTGAACATATTCTTTTATTAAAATGGTCATAGAAATTGGAATATTTTCGAAACATGTAGTGACACACAAGTAAACTTAAACATATTTTCCTCCTCCCTCTCCCCCCCTTTCCCTTCCCCCCTCTCTCCCCCTTCTCTCTCTGCTACCTCCTCTTTCTTTTGATTCTCCCTCTTTAGCCCTTTGAATACCCGGCTGAGTCACTTTTTTTTTTTTTTAAGTTGTAGTAACTAAGCTCACTGTGTGCCTTATTAACTCTGTGTTTAGGCCTGTGTGGACGTAAGAGCCAGCTCAGTATTTTGGCAGCAGATGGAGTTTTCAGAGAGTCTTCATGGCCACCCCAAGTTACCAGAGTGGCTGTCAACACACCCTTCTCATGGAAACCGAGCTGAGCACTTGGACAGACTCATACCACAGGTGAGCTAGCCCTGCTAATGCTGTTCCTTTTTTGGTCTAGAAAAAGTGAGTTTTACTATGCAATTTCTTTGGTTACTATAATTATTGACTATTGGCCTTCACGGAGTTGTAATGAGAAGGAAAGTCCTATTTACCCACAAGTCTTGGAGAGTAAATAGCTATGTACAGCTGAGTTTTCTCAATGTGTGTAGATGTAATTCTAAACGACGTTATTAAATAAGAAACACAGCCAAATAAAGAGTTAAAAGTTCAGAGATCCTAGCACTAGCCAAGAGCTAAGACCACCTTATCTTACAACTCACTGCTGTCCTTCCCCTGAGAGAGAGGGACCTTCTTCCTGTGTCCTGTCTTTTTATTGACTTTCTATTCTGCCTTCTCATTAGTTCTAAACCCAAACATATGATTTCCTCATCACTGCCTGTCTATACAGACCTCCAGGTCTCTGTGGTTCGTACTGAGATTAAAGGTTCGGGTCACCGCTTGGCTGTGTCCTTGAACACATGGAGATTCTACCTGACATGTGATCGGATTAAGGGTGTGTGCCACCACTGCCAGACTTCTGCTAAATGGCTTGTTTTTAGCTTTGATCTCCAGGCAACTTTATTAACATACAAATAAAATCACATTTCAGCACAAATTGAAGGTCTAACTCTTTAGTGTCTGACTTTGAACTGTAACTAATTTGGTAATGTTTTAAAACTTTAGGTGGGCCTGGAAATATAGTTCAGTTGGTCAGTGCTTGCCTGGCCTACAGAAAACCCTGGACTGCATCTCTAGCACCCCATAAACTAAGTGCAATGATGCACATCAATAATACCAGTGCTTGGGAGGTGGAGACAGGAAAATCAGGAGTTCAAGGTCATTCCTGGCTCCACAGTGAGTTTGAGGTCAGCCTGTGCTACATGAGACCCTGTCTCAAAGAAAAAAAAAAAAATAAGCAAAAAGGGAAAAGAAAACAACTTCAGGCATGTTTTTCAATATATTGATCATAATTTGGTTTTTCCTTAACTGTTGGTTTAAATTGTCTATTAATAAGTTATATATAAGTTTTGGATTAAATAGATATCAACTCTAGTTTGTTTTGTGTTTTTCTTGTTTGTTTGTTTGTTTCTGTTTTTTGAGCCAGGGTTATACTACATAACCCTGGCTGGCCCAAAACTTACTGTATAGACATGCCTGGCCTAGAATTCACAGAGATCTTCCTGCTTCTGCCTTTGCCTCCCAAGTGCTGGAATTAAAGATGTGCTCCCTCATGTCTGGCTCTCATCAATTTTTTTGTTTGTTTGTCTGAGACAGGCTATATGAGCCTAGGCTGGCTTTGACCTTTTGTGTAACTGAGGCTGGCCTTGAACTCTTGAGTGCAGGAAGTACAGACCTTGTGCTATTCTACCTGGTTTTGTATAGTGCTGGGGATCCAACACAGGCTTCATGCATACTAAGCAGGAGCTCTACCAACTGAGCTACATTTCCATCTCTGTGTGGCTTGGAAAGAGTGGGAATTTGTTTCTAAATTTAGAAACTTGGAAATCTTAGATCAAACGTGGTGTCTTATAAGGATCTAGTTTCCTGTGCATAAATGGCTGTCTCCTAGTATAACCTTACATGGTGAACTAGGAAGTGAGGTCTTTGGAGTCAGTTTGTCCATCTCTCCATCCATCCATCCATCCATCCATCTATCCAGCCAGCCAGCCAGCCAGCCAACCTTTATTTATCATTGTATTTTAAGTCAAAGTCTCACTCTGGAGCTGAAGGTGGTCTTGAACTTGAGCTCTTCCTATTTCAGTTTCCCCAGTGTTTGGATTACAGGCATGGGTCACTGTGCTGGGAACAGAGCATCTTTTAATAAGGCACTGGTCCCATTGGGATTGACTTTTATGACCTGATTACATCTCAAAGGCCTCATTTTATTAAGGCTATCACATGGGTATTAGGATTCCAGCATGTGAAGTTTGAGAGGCACAAGCGTTAGTTGATTGGCACCTTTTATCTGAAACAAATCTTACTTAGATGTTAAGTGAAGGAAAAACATAGCAAAAATAGTAGTGAAATCTGTAGTATTACTCACCTAAGCAGGGTAGTATATGTGTTTCACCAGTAATTGATTATACTGAGGACCAGCAAGGACCCCAGACCTTAGAGGCCCTGAGGAGGCCATGGCTTGTCTCTAAAGTCATGACATACACAGTTCTTTTCATTTGAACTCAGTGAGATTCTAAACTGTGTGGCTTGTTTAAACTAGATAACGAGTTCTACTAGGCAGCTGTGATTTGAAGCCTACCCTAAATTCTAAAGTTGTCATTTTGTGAAATCACTGAGGATCTTCAGATAGGTTAAAAAAAAGGGGTGTGCTTTAGGGAGGTCTGTGAAATGGTGATGAGCTGATTCGAGAGCACAGGGAACATGGCTGGAGAAACAAATGTTATTTGGGAGCCAGTGAGGAAGAAAAACAGAGGAGGTCTTTTTTTTTTTTTCTTTCTAAAAATAAACCATCCCAGTTCAGAAATTTAATTTGAAAACTGCAGGTAAATTTCTTATATTTTTCCCCCAAGTGATTAAATTCAATTTGAAAGCAATAAAACTCTACTACAACATTGGGAATAATTCAGTGGTTGAAGTGAGAATGATAGTTAGTACAAGGGTATACTGTTAATTAGAACACACAGTCATAAAGATTGGAATGTGCTGCTCTCCTAAGTCTGATTTCTGTAATGGAAGGAAGCAGCCATGTATGGAAGATGTGTTCCTACATACCACTAAAGACTGCATTTTTTTTTTTCTTGAGACAGAGTTTCATTGTGTAACAGCCTTGGTTGTCCTGGAACTAGCTCTGTAGACCAGGCTGGCCTCACTCAAACTCGCAGAGATCCATCTTTCTCTGCCTCCTGAGTGTGGGAACTGAAGGTGGCGTATGCCATCACTACCTGGCAAGACTACATTCTTAACACGATTGTTTACTTGGGATTTTAGGGTTGAATTTTACTGGTGGCTTCTGTCCCCTGACCTTTGGACAGTCAGACACCTTTCTAAGGTCTAGAGCACTGGTGCTCAAGCTGGTTTACGACAGACACGGTGTTGCCCTCCGGTGGTAGCTGAAGTGATGAAACTGGCAGGTTTATGTAGGAACCGAGTAGAGATCAAGGTGAAGGGCAGAGTTCATTCCCAGAGGCATCCCCTGTGCTTAACTGGTGAGGACACAGCCTGCTGTGGGTCCGATGTTTGGGGAAAAAACCAACACCTTGTTGTTGTTCTGTGATGGGAACTTAAATTTTGGTGACTTTAATTTTTAATTTCATGTGCTAAGGATTATAAGTCTGTTTTATCAGATTCTTTGAATGCCATTATAAAATATATTATTTCTTGCTATAATTTGTCAACATTAAAGATATTAAATTATTTATGTAATATAAATCTTGAAAAGTCTTATTAATAAAAATAAACCCAGAGCCAGATAATGGGGTGAATTCTGAAAGATCAGAGAAACAGAACAAGCCACAGCCACTTCACATTGCCAGTTCCTCAGCTGATCCTGTTTCCTCCAACTGGAAGCCTTTGAGTCCTCATCCAAATGGATCTCAGCTGAACTGCTGCTCAAAAGCCTAAAAGCTTAAAAACCTCTAGTTCCTGGTCCTCACACCTTATATACCTTTCTGCTTCCTGCCATCACTTCCTGGGATTAAAGGTGTGTGTCTTTCTCAAGGAAGACATGAGATCTCAAGTGCTCGGATTAAAGGTGTGTGTCACCATGCCTGGCTGTTTCTGGTGTGGCCTTGAACTCACAGAGATCCGATGGATCTTTGCTTTCCAAGTGATAGGATTAAAAGTATGTGTACCACCGTTTTCTGTCCTCTATGTCTATTTAGTGGCTGTTCTGCTCTCTGACCCCAGATAAGTTTATTAGGGTGCACAATATATTGGGGGACACAGTATCACTATATTTTCCTTTTTTTGTATATTGTAATAAACTTATCTGGGGTCAGAGAACAGAACAGCCACTAGATAGACATAGAGGCCAGGAAATGATGGCACACACACCTTTAGCAGCAGTTCAGCTGAGATCCATTTGGATGAGAACTCAGAGGCTTCCAGTTTGAGGAAACAGGATTGGCTGAGAAGTTGGCAAGGTGAGGTGGCTCTGGCTTGTTCTGCCTCTCTGTTCTTTCAGCGTCCACCCCAATACCTGGTTCTGGGTTTGTTTTTATTAATAAGACCTTTTAAGATTCGTGTTACAGTTTTACACATCCAACAGATGTTGAATCACTATTGCTTACTGTGCTGTAGATCTTGTAAGTGAACAACAGAGACACCCACACCCTCACCCACCCACACCCCCATCCACCCACACCCTCATCTGGTTTATTCTCTAGTGAAGGAGACAGGCAGTAGGGGAGATGTGAGAGGTGAGGCTCTCTGGAGTTTCTTTGTAAAGACACTAGTCCTGTTGAATAAAGATTTCATACTTATGACCTAATTTATCCTTAATTGCCTTCTTGTAGGCTCTGTCCCCAAATATGTCCATACTAGGGGCTAAGACTACAAAGTATGGATTTCTGTGAAAAACAATTCATTCTTGGGTGGACAGCTAATATGTGAGCAGAGATGGGAGGGTTGTTGGAAGAGCAGTTGCTATGGAATGGCTAGGGTTGGGGAGACGTTTCAGTGGGTCACCTATTTTCCATGAAAGTGTAAGGACGTGAGTTCGGAGCTCCAGAATCTGTGTAAAGCAGGCATGGCATGTAATCCCAACACTCCTGCAGTGAGATTGGAGGCTGAGACAGGAGAATCCCCAGAAACCCAGGCCAGCTAGCCTGTTGTGCACAGCACTGAACTAGAAGAGGCCCTTTTTACATAAGGTGAGGACCAATGCCCTTTGACCTCCAGACAGGTGCCTCCTCTGTCTGCATTCCTGAACACATATATGCACACACACACATGCTCACAGGTTTAAAAAAGAAACTAAAATGGAATGGCTAGAATAAGTGGTCCCAGTGAGGTTTCTGACT